TCATACTTGAGTGGGACTACTCGGCATTGCGCTTTCAGAACTCTACAGTCAAGGATCGACCGCAAGTCACAGGTTGATCAAAGTTAGGTTTGCACACCACTTAATTCCGGCGTTTTAATTTAGGAGTTCAGCATTCATGTATGAAATTGAAGGTTCTAGGTTCTATCTCCAGTGGCAAGATCATATATTCTCACTCTGTAGATTATTAATGCACTTTTCATCAATAAAAACTAAGTATCTAACTTCAGTTAGATAATGTGTAGATAACATGTAAATCATAGATGACGAACTAAATCCGATTTATGGTTTATGAAAAACTGTCAAATGAACCAATACAAATCTATCCATTCACTGGACGATATACATGTCTTTAAAGTAGCTATATGTGAGTTTAGATATGAATCAAATTGAAAAAGTGTCATTCATAAGAAACCATCTATCCTATTGAGTTAAATGTCCTTAATTATAATTTTGAATAAAAAAACCACTTTTGTTTCATAAATCATATATAAATTTTCCTTCTAAACTAATGAATCTTCATGAATCTTCATTGCCCTTTTATAATCTTACATCAGTAAATACTACAACTAAATTAGCTGTAAGACTAAGGAATAAATTCTCTGTCCAAAATAATAGTTTTTTTTTCATGGTTAAAAGCTGTATTCACAATGAATAAATCATTCGTCAGTAATATTATTTTATATATAAATATATGCTGGTAAGTAACTAAATTTTCTCATTCATCTACAGTGTATCTATTTGCGATGACATAATCTCAAATGTTATCAGAAAAGTTATTAAGTGTTTTGTTTTGTAAATCTAAGCCAGTTGTTTCTAATCTGCACAAAACATTTTGACTAATACACCTAGTAGAAACAAATTAAAAAAGTCAAATAAACTGTGACAGTTTAATCTGAATGTATGTTTATTTAGGTTTTTTGAAAAATATTATAAATCTTTTCAAAGATATCTTTATTGCTCATCTATTAAGAATGACAGTAATTTATAACCAAACGGAATATGTCAAAATTTTGTATATACCAGTATGTAGACAGTGAGTATTTAACTACATCAGAACATATTGTAATACTTGTCTAGTTCACAAGTATAGAGTAAGTTAAATAAACTTAATCTATGGCCGTTAATTATAGGTGATAAGTTTTGAAAGAGGTCTCATTAGGGGCAGATATACTTGTTATTGCTCTATGTAGCTGATTTTGATGTTCATAGATGGATTTTTCCGATTATATTATCATATTGACTCTTTCGATTTGCAGATTGATAGTCTGATCTTTTATTGTACTAATATGATGTATGACAACTTGGACATAAATATATTTATGCCACTTATAATGTTAAATGATTGCTTAACACCATTAGAAACCTGGAAGCACTGGATGGCCATTTCGTCCTGGTACGGGACTCATCAGTGGAAGTGTGCATCCACGACTCCTGCACCATGTATGGTTCGATCTTACGCGCGAACGCCTAACCTCTGGATTGATGATTCCACGTGTTAAAACACCAATATCTATCACTCTAATTGAAAATAATAATAATAATGCCGGCTTCTAATTTGAATCCTAAGACAAAATATTCATATTTACAACCATTACAAAATTGTAATTATTTTGAGTGTATACTGTAAAATGATTTTAATTGTTGTCTCAAGAAATAACTGACAAGTTTCAAATTGACATCACAGATTCTTAGAATAGATTTATTGATAAAAATTAAACAAGATTGCCTTGCAGACAAACTAGAACACATTGGAACTGATTTAAGAAAAAACAAGCAGCTATAAGGATGTGATCTTTACGAAATCAGGAATACGTTCACTTTATTTCCATGGAATCATATGTGGTTATTGTAAATGATTAATTTATTATTTCACAGTAATAATAATAATGATTTAATTATTTAGCTAACTGACCTATATAACAGAAAACAACTTCACTATCAACACATTGTATTCTTATTTTCAATGAAATACAATAAAAGGAACTGCATAAAATAGGAATTAATTTGAAATTATTAAATTGGAGTTAAATATCCTATTTATTAGAAATAAAATGACTTAGTAGTTTATGACAAATATCTCCCATTATAAGTTAATTGGTTATGGTGAGGTTTCGTTCAAAGTCCTGTTAAGGAAACTCCACCACAATCATTCACCTGAGCTACAAATTTTCTCCACCATCTCATAAGCTAACATCACTATAGATTTCCTGAAATTGTAAGTTGTAGAAAACACTTGTTTTTTTTCACTAAATAAACCCTCCTTCTTTTATACAAAAATATTAAACTCTTCCTGGAGCCCCTCCGAAGCTACTGCTGGTCCCAAGCCCGAATAAAGGAGGAGGGTTGGACTTGGGGTTGGCAACCCCATCCAGTAGAAAACTAACTCGCTGTAAAAACGCTAACAAGAAAAACTAATTCGAACCATTTAAACTCTGCCGTGGGAGTTAGAAGGTCTTCATTTCGAACAGTAATGACACTTCAATTTTGGGATATATATCAAGTATCCTGAGAAATTATTTTGTAAGTCTAATTCCACTGGTCAATTCCTATTGGTCAATATTTAAGGTCGTCCTAAACCATCAAGTTCACATACTTTCAAATGTTCTTTCCTATTGGTTAGTATTCACGATCGACCTAACTATATAAATATGCATTGTCTGTAAAGTTTTATGCTCCTCTTCTCTTCTTCTGTACGAACCCTAATATTTTCTGCGTGCTTGTAGTAGAATACACTTTCTACACCATATCAAAACTTTTTGATACCGTTAGTGGGGCCCTGAGACGTTCGGATTAGAGTAGCCTATCGTGTCAATGGTTCACTTGTCTTCGCTCTCGTTTACCGACTAAAGTGAACTCGTAATAGTTTTAAGCATATCAATTGGCGAGCTCAACCCTCATAATGAAATCCGAGTTCTTTCGGAAGTCATGAAGCCGATGCCCCTTCTGACAACCAGAACCCTTCTACGGTGTGGTCAACCGGGAAGTAACATCCATCCACATGTCTAAAAAAACATCATACACCAATAAACATTTCCTACTCACATACAAATAATCCTCTTTCATATTTGTTTCGAAACAGTGACTTAAAGTATTTTTTTATTTCCCCTCTTTTTCCCTCTCTCTGTTATGTTTATTTATTCTTTCTGCATGATTCACGTCATTCTTTTTAATTTCGCCTTATAGTATTAGAGAGATCGTTGTTTTACTTTGGAACTATGAATAAATCATTGTTAGACCACCATTAGTAAACCTAGAAGCACTGAACTGCCATCTCGTCCTTGGATGCGACTCATCAGCAATGGGCATCCACAACCCCTGCTACCAATCTCAGGATTTGAACACAGGATCTTCGGTTTTGCACGTGAACGCTTGATTTCTGGTCCACTAAATCAGTATTAATGTCTTACTCTGACCAGTCTAAGAATTTTCGCCCAACCTCAATAGACAGTAATTCTAATCTCGTTGAAAATAATGATTCCAAAAATAAACCTATCAAAATCTAGAACAAAATCAGTGCGCCATTAAATTTTTAATATTATTTCTTGTAACATCCTGAAGCAGAACAGTCGCCGTTACTGTTGCCCATCATCAATTGAGAATGAAAAATATAATTCCAGAAAAATATATTGACATTGTGGTGCGAGCTACTTATAAGTAGTATATGACGTGAGTGTCAACATAATGTCTGGCAGCCGAAGATGGGGGAAGATCAAGAAAGGAAGAGTTAGAAAACAATGGAATTTGTATGAAACGCATGAATAGTGACAATGGATTGATGTTTTGCAACAGGAACAGTCCAGTTCGATATGATGAACTGTTATTTTGCAAATGAACGATTTACGATATGGTTTTCCAATTTTACTGAGTAACTCTGTAATTTTCGTCAAATCCAATTCGGATGCCCCACCTGTGATCTCATTCACTACATCATTACTGGTTAGAATAGGACACAATGAGAAGCAGCATTGTTACTGCGGCTTTATTTATCTTTCTCTTCTAATGATTTCATTATTTTTGATCACTTCTAACAATGGAAAATTAATTCTGTTTAATTTTTATTTAGTTGAATGGTTGTCGTCGTTTTGCTCAAATTTTGTTCTTCGGTAACTTTTTTAGTTCAAAAATAATCTTAGCAGTGCAGTTGTTGTTAAAAATAGTACACAATTATTTATTTTGCTTCTAAAAGGGAAAAAAATTATGTAGTATAGCGTTGCACGACCTACTGTCGAAAGTTCCGTTTCATATTAACTAGTTTTATGAATAGTTGTAAACTAGAGATTACAGGTACCATTTCATAATTGACAAGTTATTTAGGTGAAATTCACTTAAATTTCACAAAGTGCCTACATGACTCGACTGGCCAGCGAACTCAAAACTAGCATGACACTGTGCAATCGTCAATTGTTACCGTCACTATGAGCTGTGTACCTTACAATCTAGATGACCTCTACCTGTAGTGGTGTTTCGTTCTCTGAGCTGTATGTTTTGGTTTTGGAGCCCTTATTATTCTTCTAAACAACATCATCAGATAGAAGTGAGGTCTATCTGAAGTTTGTGCTAATGATGTTGTTCAGAAGTACAATGAAAGCTTCACAACTAAAATATCCAACTTAGAGAACGAAACACCACCACAATCATCCACCTGAGTTACAAATTTTCTTCCACTACCTCTACCTGTGAAAGATTTTCATTATTAAACTTCAAGAATTCTTATCAAACCTAGTTTTTTCTAAAAGCATGATTATAATAGTTATTCCTTATTCCAATCATTAATAAAACTACTTCATAGTGCCTTGATGTTAATTACCTGCAGATTAATCAATATCTGAACACGTTCAAACATGTCCCGATCAATCAATACTTGTCTTTAAGACCAAACTATCTCCAAATTGAAAATTTGTTTAATTTAAATCTCTTGATACATTTTTTTGCTCAAATGTCAGTCTCGTTTTTCTTCTCTTCTCTTTATTATTTAAAAGGTTATGTATTTCAATCGAATGTGGATAGATTATTTGGTCAATCGGCCAATGAAAAATACACTACATTTTTTCTGCAACATATAACAAGTGATACAAATCAAAATATCAATGACCCATTATTATCTAAAGATAATAATTTACTCTATGAAAATGAACGTCCATTTCCAAGTCATCATTATCCATTGATTCCGTCAGAAATGAGCATTGAATATATTTGTTTTCTGATTAGTTTATTTATGTTAACTATCCAATATGCTGCACCATTTTATTTTACCAGTCGTATATTCTCATTATTATTTTCCATGTATATAGCGTTGACTAGTGTCTATTTATTGATCGATGTTGAAACAATCTCTGTTTTGTATAAATTAAATACAGTCGGTGTACGTGACCCAGGCGGATCACTGGTTGTTCATATTGATACTAATGTCAAGTATATCACATCATGGTATTGTGTCTTGTTGAGTGCAGCTAGTCTACCAGCCATGATGATATGTCTAATGGCTATTTATGCTTATGGTGAAACGAAATTTAAAGAAGCTGTAACTAATTATGCTCAGTTGTTAATTGCTGGAGAAATTCCATTGATCAATCATAATAATCATAATAAAATCACTAATCATGGTAATTTCACAAAAAGTGTTGTAGACTATGATGCCGCTAATCATAATCCAGATTCGAATGGTACTGTTGAAACAATGATTGGTGAACAAGTTCACTTGGAACCAACTTGCCAAGAGTATATCATAAATCTACCTATAACACTTGCAATTACAACAAAACATTGGCATCCACCTTTGTCAAATCGACGTACTGGTCAGCAACAGCAGCAACTTCCAAAAAGATCAAATACTCCATTGCCTTATGGTCAATCACAAAATAATGGCAGTGAAATATCAACTTCATTAAAACGTAATCGTGGAATTCCATTATCTACAAGTACAGAATTAACTAATTCTGTTCATACACTTAATGAAGCAAGTAACACTTCATCTAAATCATCAACACAACCTCGATTATCTCGTATTGGATTGAATATTATTGCAACGATTACTTTTCTATGGGTTTTAATAATTCGTATCTGTTTAATGGGTTCAATATTAAAATGTTATTGGAAAACTGGTCTTGAGCTTGCATTAGCTGACACTATCTTAACAGTGCTGTATCTGATATGTTGGCTTATTCTATGGTTTGGTTTAAGTGTTAAAACTGCTTGGCGATTTCGTTTGTTACATAATAGCAATTATTTCAATTCGACTAGTCAAAGAGATAGTTATCTACAAAAAAGTTTCTTTCCTAATAGATGTGATAGTCAAGCATTTGGACCGGCAGAATTACAGCAACAACCACAACAACAACAAATACAGCTGAATGTGAATGGTGCTTATCCAAACCTATGGCCATATGTTACTTATCCACCTTGGATTGCACCCGGCACTGTGATCACTGCAGGTTTACCTGTAGGCACCAATAGTGATGTTCAACAAACGAACAATGTAATTAACGGATTACCGGTTGGTGCAGCTAATGGCGGCGATTCACTTTATGGATTTTTCCCTGATTTAACAACTAATCAGCCACAAAATCCATCGACTGACATAACAAATCCATATCATTCACATGCACGGTGTATTTCTCTACCATCTGGACCGCCGACTTTATCTGAAGAATCAGATCTAACAACAAATCAACAAGAACGAAATGATTGTAATGGAAATAATAAATATTTTAGACCTGTGACAACACCTAGTCTCGCTGGTTCTATTTATTTAAATGATAATCAACCAACATCAATGGATCAACTGCGTCAACCGTATCCAACTACACAAAATACTAATCTACCACGAAGTAGGACAATTCAAGAAATTGCCTATTCCGATGCTTATGAACAATATTGTAACAGAACCGGAGGCGTTGTTCATAATTCTTCACATATGAACAATCAAAGACATAGAATTTCACCTATGATACCGGAACCAACCTATGCTACATTGGCAACTTTATCGAAACAATCCATACAAAATAATAATAATAATAATGCTTTCCGACCGAATTCTGTCACACCACTTGACACATCACATCATAATAAAGGTAAACTATCACCGATAACTATTTCACGTAACATTTCATATCGTCGCCCATGTACACGTGTGACATTTCAAGATATTGACAATAATTTCACTGGATCTAGAATTATTATTAATGATGGAGCTACTGGGAGTAGTGATAGTGGAGTATGTACTAATGGGCATAGTTCAAGTGTTCTTCAACAAAATGGTAATTATCCAGAGAAATCCTATTCAAAAGGTAAAATTAAATCGGAATTATTTAATATGTTTGAATCAGATGTATATAATAATAATAATAATAATAATAATAAAAAGTCAAGTGGACAATATTCTACTGATAGGAATAATGCAACTACACATATGAATGATGGCAGTATGCTGGAAAGTAATAATCATCATACTACTAATACTACTACTACTACTATCAGTAATAATAATAATGCTAGTAAAAATAATAATGACATTGAAATATCAACTGATATGACAAGTTTTGCTATGAAATGTAATCATAAACCAGAAGAATGCATTTCTTACAGTAGTCATTATGATACTACTGATAATCATAAAAGGCATTCACATTATCCGCATCCAATCGATTCTGATGATCGGTTATGCAGTCAAGTATGATTCAACTTTAGGCTGATTCAAATACATCCATGCAAACTGTTTACTCTATTTCGTTTGACATATGACATAATTTGATGTTCAATAAAGCTGATTTTCATTTATTATGCATCATCCAGCATCAGAAATAGTTGATGTGTTGTAAATTATGCTCTTTTCATTTATGTCTGTTTGTATGGGTGTGTGTGTGCGCCCGCGCGCTCATTCTTTTTGAATTCATAATTATACTTCATCAATACGCCACATACATATCCTAACAGTTCGTAACTACTTACACAAATATATATATATTCTTTACACAATTCACTCTACATGTAGTGAGTGTCATTACATATCTTTTTGAACATTCTCATAAACTCACAAATCAAACGGGATCAATCATATTTCATGAGATATTTACCACTAGGAAGGAGTATAATATTGGGTTTTTTTTGTTATCTACTGTGAATCATGAATATATATATGCATATATATTATACATATATTCATGCCTTATTCTTCGTCTCCGTTGTTATTGTAACTTTGTAATTTAAACTTGTTTGTTTTATTTGTTTGTTTTATTCAATTGTCAATGCATTCATTATTCAATTGATCATTTCAACGTTGTGTACATATCAAACACATTTTGTTTTTTGTGCATTTTTCTCTAAGATAATTTCTATTCTAATAATGATTAAAAGTATCAAACATTTCATTGTTAACTATGATAAAAAAATGTAATGAATTTTGAAAAGAATTTAAATTTCAAATTATTACTAGTGTTGCGGGGTTGTTGTGAAGATTGTTAAGCTTTATTTGAAACCATGAATCGATCAATGTTAGACCACTATTAGAAACGTGGAAGCACTGAACGGCCGTTTCGTCCTGGTGTGGGACTCCTCATCAGTGCGCATCCACGACTCCTGCACCCCGCAGAATTCGAACCCAGGACCTTCGATATTGTGCGCGAACCCCCCAACCGTTAGACCACTGATCCGGAATCTAACGGTGTTAATGTCTAACTTGATCAAATTCACGGAGTTGCGCAACCTCATACCCTGTATATATCCGAACAGGTTTGAACTTCACTGGTCACGACTTCCCACTAGAACTCGGAGAAGATTCCTCACCAAGCTAGTGTTGACTTGAGAGAGATTTAATGAAAATAGGTTTTAGTCTACTGAAGGTTTTAGCGGTTCACTATTGGACTTCAATGTGATCAAGTAGGCAATGAAATAATTTCTTCCTTTCCACTTCCGTATATCCATACTTAGACTAACCCCGTGTTGTGTGATGATGGTAATAAGAAGACAAATACAGTTTCGCGGATGAATTTATCGCACACAATCATTTATGCAGATAAATATGATAAGGGAAGTGTATAAGCAAAACGAAGCGAATCGGAGAAGCCGAGTGGGCCAACTCTGCATGAGCTGAAGAGTGGCTAAGTAGTATTTATAGTCAAGCAATAATAAGCTAGACATGTGACATTACAAATACAAAATTATGGTTGTACACTATTGGATTCAAGTTCAGTTGGAGAGAATAGTTTGTTCAATCGTAGGTAAAGGGAGAAAAGTCCAATTTTCAGACTTTTCTCTTAGTCAATGAAAGAAACTTCTTCTTTGAGGCGAGCTGAGAAACAACTAAAAAGTTTGATTGAAAGCCTTCAACTAGTGAAGTACTTTAATACGTTGAAGTTTGCGTTACAGTTGAATAATACCTTGTAAGCCACTGCTACTCGTTTATTTATGAGTATAAATCAAATTCAGAAGACTATTAATAAACAGAAAAGACTAGTAAAGATTTTTTGCAACATATTCGTTTCTATTCGTAATAAAAATTTATTTTTCTTTTGATAAGTCTTATTAAGTGAAACGCAAATCTCTTATCACAAGCAAATCATAAACAAAAGTCCTCTGTACTGATTTCAATCATAAACAACCATCTCCATAACTCTAAATGAAAAATCATATAATGTGTTCAGTAGTAACTAGCTTCGTGAGGAGATTCTCGGAGTTCTACTGAGGAAGACATGACCAGTTCAGTTCATCTCTGTCAGATGTAGGCAATAACTACCGAAAACAAATGGGTGAGGTGGCGCAAAATCCCTAGACTGATCAGAGTTAGACACTAACACCACTGGATACCGGCCTAGTCATCTAGAAGTTAGGCGTCCGTGTGCAAGATCTAAGGTCCTGGCTTTGAGTCCCGCGAGTGGTAGGAGTCGTGGATGCGCATCAGAAAATCAAAAAACTCAGCACATGAGTACGTGATCGAATAAGAAAAATATTATATTGTAAAGCTATTTGATATCAATGATTTTAAATATTGTTTTGCAACGTCCGTAAGATTTATACTAGTAGAGGAAAGGTAGATAATTATCCCACTGATGATTCATTATAAAATCGATAAATGACACTAATGCTAAGCAAAATGAATAGTGAGAAACATAATGGCATATAAAGAATGATGTATGGAAGGTGAAATGATAAAGAAATACTATTATTTTGATGTTAGTTAAGACTAAGAGAAAGTCAAAATTAGGATATTTTATCATCATTCACTTTACAAACACCCAAAAATCTATTATTTTAACAATATGGGGTTTATAATGTTTCGGCAAGATGCAAGAACTTTATAAACAATTTTGAAATCAATACATAGGTTAGTCTGATAGATAAATTAAATCAGATATTCACAAATCGACTTTTTAAATATGATTCAATAACCGCTGGATGCCGGCCCACTGGTGCAGAGGTTAAGCGTTCGCGTGCAAGGACGAAGGTCTCGAGTTCGAATTCTGAGCACTGTCGATAAGCCTCTTACCAGGAGGAAACGGTTGTCCAGTGCTTCTGGGTTGCTGATAGTGATGATCTAAGAATGATTGATTCATGATTTCAGTAATTGAAAACAATCTCCATAACTCTATAGTGGAAAACTGTTCATATTGTGTTCTGTTTGTGTGAATTATAGAAATTTCTTAGGCCATGTAAAGCATCAAACACATTATCATCATTTCAAAACATGAACAATTAAGTTAAAATATACCGTGTCATTTTATCTAGTTTGCTTTGAAATCATATGGTGCGTCAAAACTCAAGTCATCAATCATAGATTTACTAAATTTTCACACACTAATCTTGCTTTTTTTCTTGAGATATTTTATTTTATCAAGCATATTTTTTTCTGTCTATAAGTATCAAGATTTGATTTATTAATTTAAAATAAAGTGATCCTTGTACAATTACAAACTTGTGGTAATTTTAAAAAAAGAAGTTATTTAATTTTCTGAAGAAATGAAATTCAAAACAAAAGAAATTCAATTTTCCCCCATGTTGTTTCATTATTTATTCCTTAGATAAACAAACTACCACATATTCTTGTCATGTTAGAATATGATTTAAAAAAAGTCAAATAAATGTAAACTTGAATGATTTTTAAAAATAGATAACATTTTTATAGTTTTCACTTTGCATTAATGGTGTCTTGGAGATTGATGAGTTACTTATTGAAATAATGAATTGATCAATGTTAGACCATCAATAGAAACCTGAAAGTCATAAACATCCGTTGCGTCCTGAAAAAGGACTCATCAGTAGTACGCATCTACATTTCTCACTACTCCCATTAATCGAACTCAGAACGTTTGGTGTTGTGCGAGAACGCTTAACGTCTGAACCACTGAGCCGTTCTCATGGATTAGCACAGCTGATGAGTCCCATACCAGGACGAAATGGACGTTCAATGCTTTCAAGATTCTAGTGGTGTTCTAACATTGACCAATTCATTATTTCAATAATTTTAATTTTTTGAAACCATGAATCGATTAATGTCAGACCACCATTAGAAACCTGGGAGCACTGGACGGACGTTTCGTCCCGGTATGGGACTCACCGGCGGCAGTGCGCATCCACGACTCCTGCACCCCGCAGGATTCGAACCTAGAACCTTAGGTACTGAAGGCGAACGCCTAACCATCGGACCACTGAGCCGGTATCTAACGGTGTTAATTTCTAACTTGATCAATTCAACGTAACAATCTACACAACCCCGTAATGCAAATTACCTGTGCTCATTAGTGACTAGCTCCGTGAGGAATCTTCTCCGAGTTCTAGTGAGAAGATGTGACCAGTGAAGTTCAACCTGTTCGAGTGTAGACAGTAACTACCGAAGACAGTGTATGAGGTTGCGCAACTCCACTGATGAGTCCCTTACTAGGACGAAACGGCCGTCCAGTGCTTCTAGGTTTCTAATGGTGGTCTAACATTGATCGACTCATGATTTCAAAAATGTGTAACTTAACAATCTTCACAATCCCGTAATGCAAATTTTAATGTTATCCGTGCAAATTTATCACACTGTCAGGAAGAATAAATTATATTGATTCTAAGAAAAATACTCATAATAAATAAATTTTCTTTACAAATTATATTATAAAGTAAATATTGAAATGATTTTTAAGAAAAGCATCAGTGAATCATAAATAGACAGAGATGTGCATTGTTTGAGATTTTTTTCAGCGCTTTCCTTGAATTGAAGTAATTAATGTGTACATGTCATTATTGTATACGAAAAAATTGGATGCATTTCAGACATTTTAAGCTAACTTTTTGTGGATTGTATTGTAGACTTGTTCAAATTTTTAAATACCAGGGCATGTGTATGGAAATCCAGAATGGTCTTACCTTATAAGATGGATGTACCAGGAATCTTGTTCAGTTTTAAGGCTTTGAACTACTGATGATTCTTACTACGTTACGTACCATGATTATTATTATTATTATTTTCATTAGTATTGGATGCGCACTGGTGATTGAGGATCCAAACTGAGGTTTGGATTGAGGAATAACAACTGTCTAGGTAGTTTAGATACGCCCCTTGCCAGTTTAAAACTGAAACAAGTGATTTGGGTAAGTAACGGTTCTAATATTCATCATAAATATAAATATATACATCATTACCTAAACAATATTACCAATCAGCTATTCCACCAACAATTGTTCAATTATTCAAATCAACAGTAACAAATAAATGTTATTCTATCCCTCCTGGATAGATAAGATTCCTTCAAAAGATTAAATTTGGTTGCTTCATAACACACAGTTCTTCTTATTATGGAGGGGTGCTTCATAATTCAAGTCAAATACAGGCGACACAATCAAAAAAGGAACAAATCAATATGGCTGTCGCCATCACAAAGTATCATCTAAAAAAACATAGAAACTCAGTGAAGGCACAAAAAAAATAGAAACTATAATAAAATACAAATATTATCATCTCACAAATTGGAATCTTACACTGATGAGCCATACATATATCAGGATTAAAAACGGCCGTCCAGTGCTTACAAGTTTCTAATGGCGGCCTAATAAAAAACACAACTCAACAATCCTCACAAAACATATATAGTGCATTTTATGAGTATTATTATTATTATTATTATTTATTTCATGCTTACTTTGAATATATCAAAGAACATTTAACATAGAACATGATTTCATCGGTTTATTGTTGTTTTTTCCTTTCACTTGTATGTAAAAAAAAAACAACTTTACAGACGAAATAAAAGACTGAAAAATAAAGAAATCAAACCAAACACAATGAACTAATTTCTTTACAAAGTTTAATTTAAACCTGTTTAAACTTGTAACTACCTATCTCTACTTATATATATACATATAAGTACTATCTATGCAATGAAATGAAACCACATACATTGTTCATTTAAAGTAAAACATTGTTTGAGATGAGATG